CTGAATTTACTTTAAAATAAAAAAAGATCTATATTGATTCTGACTCTTCTAAATCCAACTCACAGGTTTATCATTGCTTTGAGAAAAAAAGATTATTAATTTATCCCTTTTAGAAGTGAAGTTATGGTAATTTGTTCTGGGAATGTAATTGTTGAGCCTGAGACTTGGAAAACAGGCTCGGGGCTTAACAGGTTAAGTGTAACTTGGAGGTTGACTTCAAAATGTTCCTGGGAAGTTAAGTTTACACATTACTAAATGTGTTAACGTTTCCAGGAAATTAATATTTGAAGAGTTAATGCTGGATTTTATATAGGCCTACTTTACAAGAAGTATAGGGGCAGAAATTCAGAGGATAGGCGTTTTGAGCAATAATCTTAAACAAATGTTCCAATTAAGACCAAAGTTACACCTGTCCTGAGATAGATATTGTAGAACATGTTAAATCAATTTAACCTTGCATATAGAAATAACAGGCAATATACTTGGTTAAAGACAGATAAAGATCCATACAAGAGTATAACCCAAATATAAAAGAGGAAATAGAGAGGAAAGTATGTAGTATTTACATGTGGGAAAATAAAAGTTGAATCAATTCAAATCTACAGTTATAGGCTATCTATTTCCAACTCAATTAAAGGGCAAACATTTTGTTTTAAACTAACCTTAATATGAAATAAATATCTAAAACTGTGTGGGAATCAGCATATAGGCTACATTATAATTTATAATGATACAAAAGACACATTCTTCAATACTAACAAAATGAACAGTGTGTAGCCTTCATATAAGGAGACGGTGGCAGTCTTGGAAAAGGATCAACTCAACAACGAGACGAAACTCCATTTCCCATAATCCTTTGTTCCACTCCGCAGTGATGTGGGGTGTGGTGTTTGAATGAACGTGTGTATGTAGGTGTGTGTGTGTGCGTGTGTGTGTATAATGTTTGTGTGTGAGTGTGTGTGTGTTTTGGGTACAGGACGGGAGCTCCGTTTCTCTGCACAGACCGAGCTCGGAGCATCAGTGAGCGGCGGAGAGGATGCGGGACGGCGGTGTGTGTGTAGCGGATCAACCGGGCATGTAAAAAGCAGGACGATATGAGTGTGACATCTGAACTGAACGCTATTATTGTCGGCATTGTTGGATTATTTTTTTCACCGAGTGAATCTGGACGTGGATCTGCAATGGAGCGTCGATCCTGTGAGAGCTGCTGACCGTGTGTGTGTGTGTTAGTGAGCTAATATTACAGACAATAATGAAAGGAGATTATCCATTAGGCATAGACACAGCTCAGAATATCTTGGTAATTAGTCGGTTTTTTCTAAGGGACTGTGGCTATTTTCCTTTATTTATGATATAATCATGAAGCATTACTGAATGTGTTATTAATGATTTAAAAAAAATCAATGGTTACACAATTTGTTGGCAGACAGCAGGCTGATTAAAGGCCTATTTTGATTGTCATTTTATAAATTGTCCTTTTGTTGCTTACAACGAGAGAGGCAATCATGTCTAAAAATAAGAGCAGCGAGTCAGTGAAGGTGGTAGTTCGATGCCGGCCCTTGAACCGGAGAGAGGAGTCCAATGGGCCTGCAGGGAGCATCGTGAAGATGGACATCCGGCTCGGACAGGTGATCCTCAGAAACCCTCGAGCCACAGCCAGCGAGCCCCAGAAAACATTCACATTCGATGCAGTTTACGATGCAAACTCCAAACAGCGAGATCTGTACGACGAGAGCGTGAGACCTCTGATAGATTCGGTTCTCGCAGGGTTCAATGGCACCATATTTGCGTACGGACAAACCGGAACTGGGAAGACGTACACCATGATGGGGGCGTGGATGGACCCCGAGAAACGTGGCGTGATCCCCAACGCTTTTGATCATATCTTCACACACATCTCCCGCTCACAGTCTGATAGGCAGTACCTGGTGCGGGCGTCCTACCTCGAGATCTACCTGGAGGAGGTTCGGGATCTCCTGGATCCGAACCACGGGAATGCCAGAGCCCTGGAGCTCCGGGAGAATCCGGACTCTGGGGTTTACGTTAGTGACCTCACATCGTGTGTCTGCAAGAGCATCAAGGAGATCGAGGAGGTGATGAACGTGGGCAACCAGGCGAGGGCGGTTGGGGCGACGGACATGAACGAACACTCGTCCCGATCCCACGCTCTGTTCCTGATTACAGTAGAGTGCAGCCAGCCTGGACCAGATGGGAGGAAGCACATCCGGGTGGGACGCCTCAACCTGGTGGATCTGGCTGGAAGTGAGCGTCAAGCGAAGACAGGCGTCCAGGGTGAGCGCCTGAAGGAGGCCGCCAAGATCAACCTGTCCTTGTCGGCGCTGGGGAACGTGATCTCAGCGCTGGCCGATGGGCGCAGCAGCCACGTCCCGTACCGAGACTCCAAGCTGACCCGGCTTTTGCAGGACTCTTTAGGTGGGAATGCAAAAACTGTCATGGTCGCCACTTTGGGCCCGTCCCCGCAGCACTACGACGAGACCCTCACCACTCTACGTTATGCCAACAGGGCCAAGAACATCCAGAACCAGCCCAGAGTCAACGAGGATCCAAAGGACGCTCTACTGCGAGAGTTCCAGATGGAGATCGCTCGTCTCCGGGCTCAGCTTCATCACAGGAAGTGGAGGAGCAAACAGAAGAAGGAGCAGGTGGACGGAGAGGACTGGGAAGGAGATGGGGATGAGGAGACGGATGGCGAGGAGGAAAAGGCGGTGGAGGAGTACGTGAAGCTGGAGGAGCAAAGACTGGAAAGGGAGAAACAGGACATCAGAGAAGATCAGTTCATGTTGGCTGATGAGAAGCAGAGGCTCCTGGGAGAGAAGGAGAGGATGATGGGAGATCTGAGGAAGGAGCAGGAGGCCACAGAGCAACTCACCGCCAAGTACAAGGTGAGAGGCAGTGTTTTATTTCTTTAACCAATCAAATTAACAGCCCAAGTCATACATAACACTCTAAGTGCTGAATATAAGAGACCTTCAATACTTTTGCAGTCATAGGGTTTCTTTGAAAAAACTATTTCATGATGAACAAAGATCAGATATAAACATGCACGGATTTGGATTTCATGGAAACATCATTTAGGACAAGACAAAGATGCCAAACAATGACTACTATAGTGCATTGCTCTGATTTCACATGGAGGCCATTTACAACCACCATCACATCAAGTATTTATGACAACCTGAATGTCACTGAAGGTTGTTAAAGAGCAAAAAGACTAACTTACAGATCAATATTCCCAATGAACACACTCATGTCTCATCTTTCTATCTCTTTTACACACACACACACACACACACACACACACACACACACACACACACACACACACACACACACACACACACACACACACACACACACACACGCCATGGCATGAGGTCTGTGGTGTGATATCTGATGAGCTGTTTTTAAGGGACTGTAAATCTGTGCTCTCCATGTCTAAACTGTGTGTGTGACGTGTGTATATTTTAACACTGACAAGGAAACTGATGCTAAAAACAAGGAACTCATATGATCACATGACATTTGTGTTTGGTGATATATAAATATATATGTGGTTCCACTGACGGGTGGCGGTTGCCCTTTCTCTACAGTTGTCTGATGTCTCATATATCCAGACAGGAACTGATGACCAATGTAGCTTAAAATGTCAGTGCTTTAGTTGCCCCCCACACACACACACCCACACGCACACACACACACACACACACACACTGGCAGGAATCAAAGACTGAGCTGAATTAATTACGCCTCTGATTCACGGCCATAATAACTCAATAAGTCAGCCATGCAGAATGACTGAGTGAACACAGTCGAAAATACTGCAGCTGCAGCCGTTACCATCCGACATGAATCACTACTGGATAATTTTACTGAGCTGCACCGGCCATAAAGTGAGGAAATTAGAGGAGGGAAAAGTTATCTATAGAACGAGAATAAGAGACGGGAAAGTTGAGGTTGTTTGTAATAACAATACTTTCTAGTATCCCTTTTTTCTCTTATCAATTCTGTGTTATTTAGGAAAAATAAAATGTTGTTCTTTACGTTTTACTACCTATCACTCAACCTAGCAGTGTCTACTCCAAATGCTGAGGTGTGATGGGTAATAAAAAGCCTGTGTAGGTGGTGCTGTAAAAACAGGAAGAGATGACCCACTTAAACCCATGTCACAGCATGCATTGTGATATACTGTAGAAGATAACATTGTCCTGTTTGCCATTGTTTTTAATAGAATAATGCACACTGCAGCAAACACTCTAAAGAAAAGGTCTCAAATCTGTCGAATTGGCAAAAATATTGCTATTGTAAGCAGCACTCTTGCCATCCTATAGTAAACTAATTCTCAAGGTTCGTAAGCTATATTTAGTTTCAGCCTCATCTTTATTGTGTGGCTCCTCTTCCTTCTGAGTGAAGGTATGAGGTGTGGGAAAGTCCCATGAGACGGAGCTAATGTATGGCCTGATGCCGTGCCCTTCACACTGAGTGCTTTCATGTACGAATGTGTGCAAGGCTTCTCGTATATCCTCCCATCACGTTGTCCTCTAAAGCGCTGTCGGGCTATTGCAGTTTTGTGCAGAATCGTATAAAATCTACAATGAACACACAGCAGTTCAGACGGGTTTTGCCTCTTTGTGTTTGATGCTGACTGTGTGGCTGCTGCTGAGTGATGTGAGCGCTGAGAATCATCTGTGCCCAGAAGAGGAAGATGATTAAAGACGTGAAGTATTTCCTGCCTATGATGCATCGGTCAGTTTGTTTAGAAAACAAACCTGCAAACGTCTGGCAATATTCAGTTTATTCCATCCATCCATCCATCTTCTCCCGCTTATCCGTGGTCGGGTCGCGGAGGTATCAGTTCCAGCAGAGAGCCCCAAACGTTCCTTTCCCTGGCCACATCAACCAGCTCTGACTGGGGGATCCCAAGGCGCTCCCAGGCCAGCCAAGAGATATAATCCCTCCACCTGGTCCTAGGTCTACCCCTCGGTCTCCTCCCAGCTGGACGTGCCTGGAACACGAGGCGCCCAGGTGGCATCCTTACTAGGTGCCCGAACCACCTCAACTGGCTCCTTTCGACGCAAAGTCGTAAAATTGTCATAAAATCTGATGAAAAAACATTTACTGGTGATATGTTCCTTCATTACGATACACAAACACTATAGGTTATTTTAAGTCAATTCCACATATATCATCCTGCAGCCCAAATACTCACTAGATTAATACGCAGCTGAAAGTCCCTGAAAACGTATACTTTTGTTAGCTAGAAACTACACTGCTGTTCAACGATATGACATAGTATTACGTTTGAAAACATGTATTTGTGAAGCACATTTTAAAGTCTTTCACTTACAGTAGTAATGAATGAGTGTCAGGATCAGTGCCACAGACAGAGTAGGGAGCTCTGAAATTATTGAGAGATGTTCATGTTTTAGGATTGGATGGTTTTATGGAATTGACTTGGAAAAAGTGTTGTAATTACAGCAAAAAATGGCAGTTGTGGTTGCCAGCATTTCACCATAATATATACTGTAGAACTTTTTCTACAAACAGTATACGGACATTAAAACTGATACTGATTTTACGGTTAAAGGTGGAGTTTGATTCCATGTTTTACCGTTAAAAGAAAAGCTGTTTTGTCAGATGATTAACATTAAAATAGTTGAACTCTAAAGCTAGAAAACCCTTTTTTACTGTGTACACTGAGAATAAACACAACAACTAGCCACTTGTCACATGTTTGGGTCACAGATCAGTTTTATATGATTAGAACGTTGACAAAGAACCCTTTATGTCCATTGGATGTTTTTACCTCAGTGCTGTTTCACAATTCATGCTCACAATTTAAGGTTATCCTTGTTTTTTTTATTTATAAATATATAATCATATGATATATTCAAAAATGTACCACATAAAACATGCACTTCATCATTAATTTCTAATTAGTACCCATGACTTCACTGTGATCCCACCACAGTCTGATCAATCAGCTCAAGCCTATCTTTCCTCTGATTGGCTGAGCTTGGTATTAGCCAACCAATCACAGCCTGGTGGCCTGAAGGTTCCATTTTTCTCTCTGCTTTGTTAACCAATGAGAAAGAGGTTGCTAGGCAGAGACAGATTGAGAGAGAGGGGCTGGAAAAATGAGCTCAGAAATGACCAATTATAGATAGAAATCGTATTGACTCCCTACTCCCTTTTCCTCCCTTTCTCTCCCCCTCACGTACATCCACACAGCAGATGTAAGTAGGTCAGGGTCCAGCCTTGTGAATCGGTGTAGGGTCAGCTGGTGTTTCTGCAGGGTGCTGCGAGCTAACTGGCTCCAAGGTGCAGCGCTCCATCTGTGGACTGTGTTTCGTTATGTTGGTGCAACTGTTGTTCAGCTGTTGTTGCTCTGCTGGAGGTCAACCAGCTTCAATTTACACATAGCTGTGGAAGGAAAAGTTTACAGAGCTTTTCGTTTTAACCCTTGTGTTGTGTTCGAAAGCTGTTACCGTTCATGGTGTTCGCGGGTCAATTTTGAACCATGATTTATCTCAGTCCAAAACGCATCAAAAAAATTACTATCATCCAATATTGTTTTAACTACATCATAACTAACTTATTATGCATTCATAACCGTACAATCCTGTTGTAATTTTATTCTATGGCCCCAAAACACATTACACCACATATTGCACACGTGCATGTGTGTTCAGGTTCAAGTGTTAGTGTACATATTCTTTGAGAAAGGTCGAGTTCCCGTGGGGGGAGGGGGGCAGAGGGAGGGGAGACCAGACCAGGTGCATGTTGCAAAACAATTATTGTTACAGTTGATGAAGGGGGTGGGGGAGGGGTGTCTGAAGTCAAAGATGAATCTTGATTGGGCCAAATTTGACCTCGAGTCACCCAAAACAATTCTGCTGGGTCTCCCCAGACCCGATCACCAAATTATACACTTTTTTTTTTAGAGACCTTCAGACTTGGCTAAAATGGTCAAAATCAGTTTTGTAGTGTTCATATAGCTGTTGTTGAGGATATCATGAAGCCTTGTTCCGATATAAAAAACTAGAGCGTAGTTATTATATAGTTTTAACTTGAAACGGGTCACGGGAGACCCGAACACAACATAAGGGTTAAAAAGCATATATAATGTTATAACCTCACACAAAGTTATAGGAAGAAGCAGGGCCCACCTGGTCACATGTAAGACCAGAAATACAGTATCTCTATGAGATAGAGCTTCAGGCAAAGTTAATGATGTGGAAGACACTGCAAGGGTCCCATCATTTTCTCTCAAATATTCCCTCC